CCCCCCCCCCCCACCACACCCACCGCACACAGGACCCCAAACATTGCAGAATTTTGAGTGCGTTGTAAACTTTACGAAGACCCAATGATGAGTTAATTTTACAAAAATTGTTAGAGGGGAGGGTGAAGGGAAGTTCTTTGTACAGCTTTGAATTGGTAAAAGTGACCTATTACAATATATTTGGATTTAGGGTATGTTTTCAATAACTGTCCCTGGGAGTTTTGACCTTCATTGTAGTTTTTGGCACAGATAGCGAAACGAACAATTAATAGTTTGTCGTGGCTTGACTAGCGGATGGCAAGAGATTTTCCCAAACAGACCCAGTCCTCATGTCTCGGATGAGGCATGGTTAGAACCTCACTTGTTTTGTTCAGTATTAAGGGTCGTTCGTCGCAAAACAGCAGTTTTTTTAAGAACATGAAGAGAGAACTTACCTGTCCATGACATTGTCGCCACTTGTTAATCTTCCATTGAGTAGGTGCTGCAAAGAAGACATTTCGAGGAAGTTAATCAACTTAGATTTATATATCAGTTGTCAATCGATGAGTTCGTTACCATTAGAACTTTTCCAAAAGCATTTTTTTATTATGATTCTCTCCTGACACAATTTCCTCGTCACTACTCGGTGCTTTCCAACTCCCACCAGGAAGCACTTCAGCCAGACTTGAAGGTAAGATTCTCGAAAGGTTGATGGACGTGGTAACTGGAGACTTTGATGCAAATCAAGACAAACCCGTAAATGAGAAACCTGTAAGTATATTTCTTTAGATCACAATTTTTCCCGAGAGAATCCAAGAGACAGAGTTTTCACCGTACTGGGTATTGTACTCAATCGGTTGAACAATTTACGTAATTTAGGTGCAAGCTTGCACACAGCTTGTTGACAGTGTTGAGTCATTGTGTTATGACTAATGACGGTAAGTTTAGCATTGGGTAAGGTTCTGGGTTGGTGAGGATGATAAATGATATGAGCTTTGTGGAAATTGGAGGGTTTGCGGAAAAAAAACCGAAAGAGCTTTGAATTGGTCTATTTATAAATTATGACACCCAACCCTAGAGTCGTTTTTCATTCAAGTGGAGGCTATGTGAAATAAATTTTCTACCGAAAGAAATTGTCATTTACTAAACTATAATTTGAAACAAATCTTTTTTGTAAAAAATTTCGTACTTTAGGGCTGATTCCACCAGAACATATCCATCCACAAACCGCTACTAACGGGAAAGCAGATTTTACTATGTTGCTTAAAGGTGCCGAATCGGATTAACTTGGGACAGAAGACAACTTTGGAACATCGTTCCAAGGGTCTGCTACATCTCCCATCTTGAACACGTGGATTGAAAGCTAGAGGAAGCTGGGGCTAAACTACAGTGCTTTATCTGGCCATGAGCTTATCTGGCCTTGCCTTACTTGGGGGTGGAGGAGCAAACTTGACGTCCCCAGTAATTTGCCGCTTAGTTTACTTATCTCATTAGTTAGTGTCTGAATAGAAGAACAGTTCACGCGGGTGTATATAAATACTAAAAACACGCAGACACTAAATTTTTCGAAATAAGCGTTTTGCATGGATTAAAAGCTTGCGAACAGAAACAATTTTGGGATGAGTTTGACAGATATCCCAGATTATTGAAGCATAAAAAATGCCAAGTCCAAAGAATTCTCTCTTTTTTCGCAATATTCATGCTTTGATAAAATGTCATCTTTGCAAGCACAGTGTGCATTTTATTTCTGCTGAGGTTAAGAACGGAACAAGAGTCTAAAAATGATTTCATCCCCTGATTCTGGTCATAATCCTCTCTTGCCTAAAGACATGGACCCTGTTTTTGGTAAAAACAGAGAAACTGCTTTGTGTGACTGGTGAGATAAAGACACTAGTGCGCTCATGGGCCGTCAGAATAACAGCTGTACATGTGCCTATATATGGCGTACCTGTGTCTTCGCTTCGTTCCCAGTCTCCTTGGGTCCTTTTCTAACGTTTGTTCAATTTATTGCTTTCATCAGGTACAGATCAGAATTAGAGGGGATGAGATACTTGATTACTATCGTAATATTAACAGCAGTATTGGAAATACTCGGTAGTTTTCATTCTAGAAAAGAACTGGGACGTGGTAACGACGAAACAGTGACTGCAGAATCTCTCGATGCATTGGAGCAATTTTGTGAGGGCAGCGAGCGATGCAAGGTAAGAACTCCACAGGAGCAGATGTATAAAATTCAGACATTGTAATGCTGCTTCATACGTAACAAAGGAAATGGTGGAATCCGCAAAGTTAAGGAAATTAAAGAAAAATATAGTAGTCCAAGCTAGTTCAAGCACAAGCAACGTCCTACCACTACTCACCCCCACTCCCGGATGAGCTTACCCAGTCCTCCACGATCGCCGCCGATTAATCCCTTTCCGCGTGCTGTTTCGTTGACATGGCGTTTCATAGTCGAACCAGCCTTTTGTTTCGTTCTTCTCTCAGCGCTTTTAGAACGGCAGCAGCTAGGAGAACATTTACTTCTCGTTTCAAGGAAAGTGGGTCCTATTTTAAATTCGCTGGACCTGTTCTGATCGGTGCTTCGGCTGCTACTGCAGGACTATTTGCTGCAAATCAATTGTACAGGAACAATTTTACCCTCATCGGAAATGTTCACGCCGCAACAAAGGTGGGAATTGTGAATGTTACAGTCATTTATTCTAGAAGTATAATTCTATGCGCGCTTTCTCCTTGACAGCAGGGATAACTTAAAGATGTTCTGTACCTGAAGATTATTTTCGGTATCTGAAACGATATTGGTCGAGTTTTTACACCCCCCGCAACCCCACTTTTTTTTAGCCTCCAAAATATCCTGATATTTACGGCCATATTTCGTTGAATTCTCCTATTAATACGGTGATACGACCACCTCCTCTCCTCTTCATATTTGAAGAAAGTGCTCACAACTCAAACCGGAAAATTGTTCAATAATGGTGATGGTACTTTGTACATTAAGTGTAGAAGAGTGTTGGCACCCAGTCATAACCCAGTTGTCACCCAATAGAACCTTACCTCACTTTTCATTCATAACGTAGAGAAAATGTCAGGACCTTAGAGAACCATGAAGATTACTGATCACTTCACATGCACCCCCACCAATGTCATCTATTGCATAATTTGCACTTATGGCAAAAAGTTATACATTGGTGAAACAGGAAGACGACTTGGTGACCAATTCTGAGAAAACCTTTACAACATAGAAAGAATGACAAGGATGCATCCAAACCAGTCACTAGACACCTAAGTCTCCTTAATGATCATAAGAAGCATGTGGCCGTCAAGGATCTTATATGTGAACTGCAGTATAAGAAATAGGTGTGATCTTCACAGCAATGAACACTGCTAAAGCAGTAATGAAAGTGACCCTAGAAAAAAAAATCCAGGTCTATGCATGATTAGAACCCATGACCTCTACAATACTAATGCAGTGCTCTACCAACTGAGCTAACAAGCCAACTGGGAGCTGGTCACTATGTTGGTTCTTACTAAACCTTTGAAGTAATGAATCAATGACTGTGAACTCAGTGCAGTTTAAGAAGTGAATATTTGCAAGCAATCTTCACATTAATGAATACTGCCAAAGCAGTAATGAAAATAAGGCCTGAAAAAAATTCAGGCCTGTATGGGATTTGAACCCATGACCTCTGTGATGCCCGTACATGGCTTTCTGCAGCCTTTCCTTATGTCCAGGTAGTTGGGAAAGCAGCAAACCCTGGAACAAACATTTAACTTTCAAATTAGCACTATTAATCCTCATGGTATCAAGGAATGCTTTTCATTCAACTAATTTGTTCTTGTTCTTCTTTTTACAAGTTCCCAACCCACAATTTCTCCATTCGTTCTGATGAAGAACTAACACTTGAAATGTCAGCTCTGAAACTCTTTACATTAGCCAATTAACTTTATCAACTCAGTTGATAATACTAAATTACCTTGAACCTCACCTTAACTAGGTGAAGACCACAAGTTAAGGGGTGATCCCAGGTGCATGTGATCTCACCTTTGGCAACTTTTGTTTCATACCTCACTGTACTCAGTACTAAAACTGACATGCTATCATATGGGTAGATATTTTGCAAACATCTATTTTAATAATCCAGTAACTGGTCAAAGGGAGCTCTGAGAAGCTGTGTGTTCTGCTCTTATAAGTATACCAACTCTTGCTCAGAAACTTGATTACATTTGACAGCAATTTTTTTGTGTGTTAAGGTTGAAGGCCAAGGTAAATCAGAGAGAACCTTTATCATGGTCAAACCTGATGGAGTCCAGCGGGGTTTGGTTGGAGAAATTGTCAAGCGCTTTGAACAGAAAGGATTCAAATTAGTAGCATTGAAATTTATGAAGGTGAGAAACAGTGACTCTGTGTTCTTAACTTTATTTGTTCCAAATCAAGAGCTTTTGGAACTTTTTGATGCGATGCTGTTCTAGCTTGTGTGAGAATTCTTACCTGATAGATGATTAAGTTTCTGAATTGACTACCTTGTTATGTATTATCCTTGACAAATTTTGAAATCTAAATTCTCACATGAGGAACAATTTGTGGATTTTTGGCCATTATTTTGCCATTGAAACTATTGATACCACTTGTCACTTAAGAGACCACAAGACTTCTTTTTGTGTACAAAACCTGGGAAGCTGCAACACGCTTTTGCTAAAAAATATTTTAATTTGGTTTTGACTCTGATAGGATATCTTTGAGCTGATTCCTTATTAAATTTCCTAACAGTCATTTTGAATTTGATTGAAGTGCAAACCAAGGTCACTCACTATTATTCTAGAACAAGATGTTTTTCCTCTACCATTGATTAGTACTGGGATTACCCCTAATGCACTGGAATACTTTAGGCATTGAGTTATGAAATAACAACTCCACACTTTTCTTGCCATGGAAATTGATATAGTAAACCATTTTCATTAATTTGTGGACTGACTTCTATGTTTATTTAAGGCGGACGAAGCCCTTCTGAAGGAACATTATGCAGACCTTAGTCATCTGCCATTTTTTCCAGGCCTGGTGAAACATATGTCCAGTGGACCAGTTGTGGCCATGGTAAGTAATAAATATTTCTGTGGTGGTTAGCCTTAATGATGAAAGCTGAAGGTTAAAATATTCTAGATTTATATTAAATCTTACCAATGTCACCTTCAGTTAAGTAAGCTGTTAATAAATTATCTTTTCAATATTAATGCACTGGCAAACTGACGAGTGATAATGAAAATTTGTAACTACTGCTGAATATTGTTTGGATGAACACTGAATTCTTAGGACTTTGTAGTTATTGGTTAGAGGAATTGGCCATCAGATCTTAAGAATTGAACAGCAGATATTGCAAGCCAGCAGTTTTGCCACTGCAGCCCCCAACCATAATCAATCAACTTGAGTGTAATTTTCTTGAACCTAGGAGAATGCCTAGATTCTGAGGTCCTCTTAAACCTGCAGGTTTGGGAAGGTCTTAATGTTGTGAAGACAGGACGCCGTATGCTTGGAGAAACAGATCCAGTCAGTACATTAAAGCTTTTTATTGTATCATAATCTTTAATCCTGAATTTCAAGTTCTCCAATTATATTTTTATAGAATACACAAATTAGTGGTTACCTGCAAGCTCAAAACTAGGGGGAAAAAACTATCTAGTAAAAATTTATGAATATAAACATTGTGGCAAATCTTTTTTTAATGACTAAATGAAGGAAATTTTTTCTATAGTGCACATGCATTTCATAGCAGTAAGAGAAAAAGTCATGCAAACTCTAAACCTCTCTGTATTCTTCAGGCAAATTCTTTGCCAGGAACAATCCGTGGAGACTTTTGTATCCAGATTGGAAGGTAAGCTGCTGTAGCCTTCCTGAACCCTTGGGCAATCAAATTTTTTTTGTAATGTTATTTTATCTTTCTTTTGTGTTATTGAAGTGAAAAAGGTGACAAACATATGCTGACAAATTTTGGATTATCATTGATGTTGAAGTAACTTTTCAGTCTTTGCCTTTAATGATTACCACTACACCTGTATTTATCCCTTGACTCTGCAGAAATATCATTCATGGAAGTGATTCAGTGGAAAGTGCTAAAAAGGAAATAAATCTTTGGTTCAAGAATGACATAGTAGAGTGGAATCTGACATCATCTGGAAACATTTATGAGTAATGATTGATCTGTAATAACTGGTAGTAATAAATTGAATTCTTCACAAACTTATTGTGTTGTAAATCTAACAAAAAACAAATTAAATGATATGTGTCCATGTTTTAGCAATCACACCTTTACCTTGAAAGCCATTCCACTCTTGAGTAATTTTTGTTCTCCTGTAGATAAAGCTATGTGTCACTAGGTACCTCTTTCTGTTGCTTCTTATATCCCATTTCCACTAAAGCTTAAACATGTTTTGAAGTTGTTTTGTTAAACACAGTTTAATTTTTTTCTTTGTAGAAACTACTTAACTTAATATTTTTTTTTACTTGAATGTAGCACATTGGAAATGCAAGTTAGCAAGTACTTGAATTGTATGGAATATTAAGTTTTTCAGCTCTCTGTTTATGATTTTCATCTAGTAAAAACCAGTTTAACAAAATATGTTTCAATGGTGTGAATAGGGTACTAGATAAAGATAACTGACAAACCTGATATGCCTTTAGGCTTTCCCTGTACAGTCAGCTAGGCAATCAGTAAAACCCAAGGAATAAATAACTCACCCATAACACTTCTTTTGGTTCTGTATTACAGTGCAATTAATTCAGACTATAGCAACTGGATGAGAGTCCATTTAAACAACTCTTTTTGATATTTTGACTATTCAAGTTGTAAACACAATTTGGCAATATAAACCATATGTGAGGCTCTTCAACAGACCGTCTGTTTTCCCATGATTTGTAATTCAGACGGTAACCCATAGTAACTGAATGCAAATTATAATTCTTTCATTTTTTAATCCTAAAATCTAAAATAATGTGCAATCATCTTAAAGACCTATTAGTTCCACAATCATCACAGGTCGACAATCAAGTTGGTGTTTCTTTGCGTGAGAGCTTCAGTTTCAATGCATTGAGATGCATAATCACAACCTCGAAATGCAAGTCCCATGGAGGGGGAGAGAAGGAACAGAAGGAACAGAAAATGGAGTATCTATCACTTAGAGATTAATGTAGATTCACACATTTTCACTAACTTGGACAAAAAGGTTTATATGTTGTTGGCTTTAAAACAAAATTATTCTACAAAGGCAAAGGGAGTTCATAAGCACTCCAGGGCACCACTCTCCCTGTAATGACAGTTATTATAGTCTGAATAAAAAGTTAGAAATAGGACAACCTGTGATGAAATAATTTATCAATAATAGCACTCAATGATCAGTGTTATACCTGTTTCACCTGTCTATGCTGAACTGTTGGCATCTAATTAATACAGAATTGTATTTTGTAAAAAATATTGATTCGATTCTATGATCGGTAAACTTCATTACTATCGTATCCCAAATCTAAATGAGGATAAGGCCAACAGGATGTGACTGCATTTGTTATTCCTTCCTCCTCTCCCCTCCCTCCCCGTCACCTCGGGAGTTTGTTCCAGTACCTTATATGGACACTGAACTTTCTTAAAGTCCTAGGGCACGTGGCGCTCAAGACTGTTCTCGATAAGGAGCTCGTGATTCTTGCCTCTGCTGGAACTGTTTCAAAAAGTACCCTCTAAACATGTCGAAAGACGAGCGAACCTTCCTTATGATCAAACCAGATGCTGTTCACAGAGGACTGATAGCAGATATCATTAAAAGATTTGAACAGAAAGGGTTCAAATTAGTCGCCATGAAATTTGTCAAGGTACGCTGCTTTTGTGTAATCCCTACTCAATGTCTGATGGGGTATTTCTTTGAGCGATAAGTCACGAAAAGTTATTTTTCATTCTTTTAGGCAAGTGAAGAACTCCTTAAAAAGCATTACGAAGAACTGGCAAAGAAACCATTCTATAATGGCCTCGTGAAATATATGGGATCAGGCCCTGTTGTGGCAATGGTAATAAATTTGATTGTGATCCATGTGTTGAAATGTTGCTTACTACTTTTCTTCAAGGCTGACTGTGACTAAAGTTCCGACCTTTTTGTAATCAGTAGTTCTTTTTATGGTGATCGCCCGTCTTTTATTACAACCTTTGAGAATAATGTACTCCTAAGTCAGCAACAGCAATCAACTTACCACAATGTCTTTAGTTCTCGCATGTCATCAAAATGGAAATTTTTTTTTTTGCAGTTTTGATAAGCTATGTACAGAGTTCCTGTTTCACTCAGTATATTTGCGATTAATTTCGTTCGGTGTGAGTTCGAATGAACAGTCCTTTGGCGTAAAGGGAGGGACGGAAAGGGAAGGGTGAGGGTCGAACTGAAAGACAAGGTAACCAAAAGAAAGAAAAATATGCAAAGAATTGAGGAATTAATAAATAAGGCTGGATACAAATAGAAATGTTACCCCAGGGATCAGAATTTATCACAAATTTTGGCAGAAGGAAGATTGAGGTACAAAGCTCGCCTTGTCAACCTGCAACCCTGAAAATTTAATCCATGGTCTTTTTCCTTCTTTTTTAGAGTGTATTACCAAACAGACCTCAATTACTGTTTTAAAAGGTTGTGCTATGTAGAAAATGTTTCTTGTTTACTTGATAACTGAGCTTTTCAACAATTTCATCCAGGTGTGGGAAGGACAAGGTGCTGTTTTAACATGCAGAGCTATTCTTGGAGAAACAGATCCAGTGGGTATTGTTGTGACAAAGGATGACAAACTGATAATGACTATTGCTCAAATTACACTTTTTTAAAGGAAAAATGTATTGTAGTGATTTGATTTCAATTACTTGCAGGCAAAATCTAAGCCAGGTACAGTGAGAGGAGATTTTTCCATTCACATTGGCAGGTTAGTGTTCCTTTATGGCTCTTTTTACTGTTACTTTAACTGTTTTATTTTTGTTCTTTTTTTGGTTAGCACTCTGCAAGTAAAAAAAAATCAATTTTGTATTCTCTGGCAATATGTTGTAACTGTTATTCTTTGTGCTGTACATAAAATTGATTCCTTTGATTTTGTCTCTAGGAACATCTGCCATGGCAGTGATTCAGTGGACACAGCAAACAGAGAAATTAAGCTCTGGTTTAAAGACGAGGAGCTTGTTGATTGGGAGCCAGAAATGGCAAAATGGATTTATGAATAAAAAGTCTCCTGAGTTGGGTGAAGAGTGAAACAATGAATTTAAATAAAGTTTCATCATTTTGAATGGTATTTCTGCATGTTGGTGTTCTATGTTCAGGTAATTGAACCACACAGGCTATTTCAAATTAACCAATATTATTGTAGCTTTTTATTTCTGAAGATCATGATATAAAAATAAATTAATATAAATAAATCTTTGAATATTAGGCAGTGAAATTTGTACCTAACAGAGAAACTGAAAACATTTTCAGAAATTCTGAGGTACTTCTAACAATGAAAATAGGGGAATGACTGTCAGGTTTTTCCAAACCAATTATTTTTAAATTTTTTTCTCAACAAAGGTCCAAAATTATGGTTTTAATCTAACATTAAAAGTAATCAGAGGTTAAGTGGGAAAACTGAGAAAATATGATTTAGTGGACAACAATTTTACAGAGCCATACTGGGCAAGAATCTTTGGAGATATATCCAAAAAGTGTATCCTTGAACAGTTTAAAAGGGCTCCTGCATAATTATTAATACTTTGATTGTTACTCAATAAGTTTTGAGAGCATTACAATGTGGGCCCAATACACATCTCATGTAGGTAAGTAATTTTCCAATGATCCAAGCCTCATTTAAAAATTTCCCACAGTAACAGTTCCTTATTTATCAATGTGAGGTGAAATTGGCTGCATGTTCTTCATGTTCATCAAAACCATTGCTCTTTGCTTAACTTCCTCAGACATCACTTCAGGGCAAATGGTAAATAAAATGAGCTCAAACAGAACCTGTAAGAAAAACAAAGATGGATTAAAAATCCACCAGTTTCTTTAATAGCTAAAAAGATTGCCATGCAAATCAAAATGTAGTCTGGTGGAAACTTAGCAGTAACAAGGTCAGAATGAGATGAAAGATTCCATAGACAGCTAAACAGAACAGTAACCTGTTTCCACCCACACACCCTTCTGTATTCTCAGCTTAGCATCCTTATCATGCATCACTCAACAGTAAAAACCAAATAGGACATACCTCTGTTTATCAAATAATGTAAATCTACTTGAAACTAAATTAATAAGGAGAAATTTCTGACAAAGAACTTACATAAAACAGGTGTTTGGTAACCCTGATATCCTGAAATGCTTCAAACACCTAAAACAAACATGTTTTATGTAAAAGCTGGAAAAAAGTGTTTTCAGGAAAACTTCACCCCATTCACTTGCTCAATCACAGAATTTTAAGAATAAAGAATGTTCAATCCAGTTGTTTATTGTAAAATATATAGCACATAAACACTAATCAAGGTACATAACTGTAGCCAGTTAAATCATTAGGGTTACCTTCAGAGTTCCAAGTTTACTATTTTTTTTTCCCACCAGATTCTGGAGAACTTCTATAATATGAATTATTAATAAAAGAAGAATTTTTAAGGATCTTTTATGAAGTAATCTTTTACAACTTAGTATGTGAACCAGTAATTCTATTAATGTCATAAATTTAAAAATTAATTAAAGGACCATTCCCATATATGATTACTGAAAAGAATGGAAAATTTTTCATCATGTAAAAAATTCTGATGGGTGGGAATTAGAATTATCTTGTATTAACTGACACCCCCACTAACATAGCACCACATTTTCCTCAGAAACTTGCCCTCTCAATAAAAAAAATTAATATCAGATAACTGATAAAACTCTATTGATGATCTGAAACTGTTCCTACATTTCTCAACATCTGTGTGACAGGGAATTAAAGCTCGTTGCCCATTTCTAACTTGCCTGGAATGTTTTTCAGAAATTTTTGTCTTGCTCTTTTACTTGTCTTAAGTTTCTCCTGAAAGAGAGATGATGACTGTGGAAAGGCATATTTTCAGTTACCATTTAAATCAATTTTGATCACATCTTTAAAAATACCTCAAGTACTAAATCATTGTATTTTGCAAAGAGTTCCATCTTGAATTCCTTGTTCTGGAACTAGCCTGAGATACATGCCAATTATTTTGTCTACTCTCCATGTCCAGCAAAATGATTGAAGCTTGGAGCCAATGTATTGAAAAATTACAATGTTGACAGAAATTCAATGTAAAAAGTCCAACTTCCTTACTGCATCAGTACGTTGTACAGCAGGTTTAGCCAGTTCCCCACCAGGCCATGTTGAGTCACGGAACAAACGAATGTAGTACATTACCATTGATTCTGACACAAGCCACTCAACCATATGATGGATTTCCCTGGTCAAGGAACAAAGTCTTCTCATTAGATAGTAATCAGGATTTATGAAGATAAATTAACTGTCCTTCAATTCAAGTAAGAGGTATAAATTAAACATGACACATTCTACTGTCTGCAAAGGTTCCCACACTTTCTCCATATGTAATGTTTTTGGGATCAGTTAATTGCTAAATATAACTGTTCAACCCCCTTGTGATAAGACACAAATATTATAAGCACACCATAGAAAGGAATCAAAATACCAGTGTGAATAACTTCATTAATTTTAACCTTTATGTCAAGTGACTGAAAATTTTATGATTCAAATCTGTCCTTGGTGTAATCATTTTTCAAACTAGTATGATGACCCACTATATGATATTTACTTCCAATATTTTCATTTCACTATTATGCATGATATTTTGCCATATTAAGGCAACAGAACCCACAAAATCAATGGAATTATGATGTAGAACAGGGCAAAAATATGAAGAAAAAAATGAGAAATAAAAAGGCCACAGGCAGCCATCCAAACTGTAAACTGTTTGACTGTGTCATTTCAGGGACAAACTATATTGATTGAAACAATTTTCTATTGTGGCTGGTTTTGTTTGTTTTGTTTTTATCTTTAATACATGCCTTAAGTAATCAAAACAATTCTCAAAGAATGCCAAAAAATTACAAAATTGAAAAAAGATGGAAAGACTAGTCCCTTTTTTGATCCAGGTTTAACATACAACATCCCTTGGCCTTTTTGCTTATTGCTCATATTTTTCCTTCCTTAGAAAAATATGCTGCAACTCACAAAATATGTGCCCACATTACATGTTGAACCACTGAAAAAGGTGTATTTATAACAAACTCATCCAGAAACTCTTACTTGTTAATTGTGCCTCCAAATGTGACTTGAACAAAAGCTATTAAAGTTCTTCTCAGCCACTTAAAAACTGTGCACAAAAATAATTGTTCTTTCTAATATCAATGTATTTATTGTTCTCATCATTATCATCATCATCATCATCATTATTATTATTATTATTATTATTATTATTATTATTATATCATATTATAATGGCTATCATTATTTTATTTTTCCTCCAAGAAGATTCTTTCTGAGGAAAATTATATTAAATACAAGATCACTGTATCCATACAAGAAAAGGTATCCTGCATGTTGAAATTCATCACATTTACCTCCTTTCAGCTCAAATATTTCACCAATTAATCCATAAAATGGCTCAGCAATAGAATCTTTACGCAGGGAACTGCCCATAACAAGAAAGGGAAATGTCAGGAAAGATAATTGACTAACCTCAGCAAACATCTTTCTTCCAAAAATAGCAAAACCCAATGTTGAAAGTGCTTGTTAGTATAATTGTAATATTTTTTTATGTAAACACTGACATACAAAATAACTCCATCTACTGTTGTCTCATTTTCAAGAACAAAACAATAAAATTTCCTAAAACAATATTCCCATTTTGTCTACTTTGAGAATACTGTGAAATAAAAATGATTTAATTTCTTGAATTATTATGTTCAACTTGTAAATCATCAATAACATAATGTCTCACCTGTCCTCTGGATCAAGACCTGTTTCCTATAGAGTAATTTTCAAAAACAAATTAATCAACTGCTTGTGGAGGGTGAAAATTACTATTTTTTCTCAATTTTTTCATCCCAGTGAGAATTAAAATTGTAAAATTAACATCAATTAAGAAATAAGTTTTTAAAGGTGGACATTGACAACCAAATGATCTTGTCTATAACAGTATTTATACTACTAACTGAACACATTCATCTTAATAACCGTTTTTTCTAACCTCATCAGCTTCTTCTGCTGGAATGATGTCAAAAGGTAGGCTAATTCAAGAAAAAGTGAACAGCTTGTTAACATTGAAGTAAACAAACATTAAGCAGAAAGCCACATCAAACCACTTATTAACCAACACAAACACAATTCTACACATTTTACATACCTTTTTAACACTGACAAAAGGGAAAACCCTCTTTTGGTTGGTTCACTTAAAAGAAAAGTGGGGAATCTTATTAAGTAAAATTAAACAATTCATGAGAAAATAAGTAGACTCAAAGAACGTCAATAAACTATTCATCTCTTTAATACATGCACCTGTGCCTTTTACATGTATTTGTTTCAAACCACAAAATTCTGTAAATACAACTTACTCTGATTTGAAGTTCATTGCCAAAAGTGCACCAAAGATAATTCAATATGATTTAAAATTGATTGAAGATAATGTGATGATAATCTTATTAACAATTAAACCTCTTTTAAATACCTCTGCTTCTTAAGATGTTCAGGACTGGGGCTGAGAAAAGAGTACAGCTCTTCACTCAAGCACAGCTTTTCATCAGCTAATAATGTCTTCAACAAAAGTAATACATAACACAAAAAAATTGGTAAATGTGTTGGTAAGCATACTATGAGCTAACTTCACCTCGAAACTTTAATTCTATATGTTTTCTTACATAAACAACCAGCTCATTTTACAGAAATTGCAAGGATAGGAAAACATGCAACACAACTTTACCTGTAGGTATTCTTCCAATGCTTTCCTTGATCGTTCTAAAAACTCGTCATCAATGGATCTGTACCATTTTTTGGATGGCACAGGTAGATCACGAGTAAGCCAAGAACAACACTGCAAGACACAATAAATTAAATATGTTATTATTATAATCATTTATTTTATACTAATAAAACAGACCAAGCGCCATTTTTGTTACAACTGAGAGTTAGCCACTAATAGATTATTACTTAGAAGGAATAAGTATAATTTAGTTCCATTTCCATGCTATATCATTACCTCCTTTAATTTAACATGAAGAGTCTCGAAATCTTTGAACTTCCTAGTTACAACCCAGCCTTCTGAATTGAGATTTCCGTCTCCCTCTTGTGATCTGCCAGCTGACTGAGACTTCTCACCAGCACTGTGAACCACTATAGCATACACAGGTACTGACCTCTCACCATCTATATTCCACTAAAATAAAAAAAATTAAACATAGCAAGTAGTCATATGGATCTCACTGCTCTGTCTATCTGGTGCCTAAAATTTTTAAACAAAGTGTGTAAAGCTACCGACCTACCTCTACACTAGGTATTTCTATCTTCCACATCCCTAAGTTTTCACACCATTGATCTGTAAAAAACAATCAGGGAACTCTTAGAGTTAATTATGTATGGAGATGGGGATTGAATAGACATTTGGTTCTTAAACACAAATAAATTTCAGGGCGCATGCCTGATAGAATACATTTATCAAACTCTTTGTTGTTTCCATACTTCACAACACTCAACCTTCTTTACAACAAATCTGATAACTGGAAAATGAAATACCATACTCTATGACACTACCCACTGCTGCCATCACAATGAAGAAAAATATTTCATGGAGAACTACAATTATTCTTGTTAAATGGTTAAAATATGATAAGATGCACTATGCCAATTTCCAACAGTGCAAAATATGCAGTGCATTGCAAGAACCAACATCACCATCAGGCTTAAGTACGAATGATTGCAAACATCTATTATTCTTTGACTACCTGTTCTCTCCACATGAAACTCCAGCTGCATTCTTTCTATTTTCAACTTTTCAATCTCACCAGTAAGATATTCCATTTCCTCAAAAAGGAATAAAATAAATATTACAACCACTAAAAAACAAACGATCATCATTACTTACAGTATGGTTATGCTACTTGATTGAAACTTAGTGCTACAAACCATCCATTCCAATGATATCTTGAGAAGCTTTTAATTACAAAACTTCAAATAATTACATTTAGTTATGAATATATTCTTGTTATTCATAATCAAAACAAATGATTTAATTTCAATAATATGCATGGAATTCCCTAAAAAATAAACCAAAAATATCTTAAGGACAAGGAACATGTTTTGGACAGGGATCCAGACTGGTTTATGGGAGGAGTTTCAGAGGCAATTTACATTACAGCTCACAAACCAACCCTAAATAGAGGTGGGGGGGGAAACAACTTTTCAGCAATCTAGAAGAGGCTGGTCAAGTCACAGGTCAGGTGACTTGAACAAGGCTTTGGCAGAGAACAAGCTCAGAATTCTACCATCTATGGTGTGTCAAAAATGAAAAAGTTGGCATTAAGATTACAAAAATTCTACACAACTTGGTATACCCTTTAAAAATATTAGTTTTCATTGCTAAACAATATGTTGCTCTTAACTCATATTTATAATTCAGACAAACTGGCTCTGTACCTCGACCTCAGCTCCATAACTTCTTTTCACAAGTTCCAATTGTTGTGTCTTGAGGAGAAATTATCATCATTTTAAAAATTACACTTACAATATCTACATGAAAATGATCATTACAAACCACTACACAATTTTAAGTTGTAGATGTCAATTACTGAGGTACCTACAAAAGGAGAAAGAACATTGAACAATAGAACCTCTCTTATCTATCATAAATTCTTACAACAAACAATATACAGCTGTTCTGTAAATTTGTTATTGTGGTACAACCAGAGCATACATTTTTATGATTGGCATTACCTTTGAGGCAAGTCTTTGATCAAGAACCTCTAACTTACGGACAATTGCTTCACTCCGTTCTTCTACAGTACTTGGTTTACGTGCTAAAAAGAACATGGGATCTACTCTTAATTCAAATGTCAAAAAGCATTCCCATTAGTGCTTCAGTCATCTAAGATATATTTGAGAAAAGAAAAATACTACATAAATTATGAGGAAGCATAAGAGAATACTTAAATAAAATGTCATCTATGCTAAGGATTGATGCATAAAATTTATTTTCTGCTGGTTCATCAGCTGCCAGTACCTCTCTTTTACTTTATGAATTCATATACCTGTCTATTTTTTCAAGGAATACCAATTAATTTTTGTGTATGTGTACTGGTCTTAAACAAGAATTAAAACAGTTGATTAACTTCTTCAAAATATGAGTGATCATCAAAAAATAATAGCAAAAAATATATGGTCGGAAGATGTCCACACACCAAGCTTTGGAGTGCCATCACTTTCTGTTCCAACCTATGATAAATCAGAAAAGATATGAACATTCTCATACAATGGAAAACTGTTTCAAGAAATTGATATGCATAGTAGTTTAAATGTATATTCATTTTTTTTCATTACTATCTACTATCAAAATACAGAAACATGCCCTAGGAAAAATTTTCAATCTACATAAAACTCTACTAACAAAATTTATCGTATTGAGAGTCCAAACATTCCAGTTAGTATGATTTAAAACTGTTTTTCACTTTTCTAAACTGAATGTACGTACATCTTCATCAGTTGTATCCAAATCAAATTCATCATTCCAGTTCAAATCCAGGTCATCATCCTCCCTGTGTTGAGCACGCAAATCATCTAACTCTGCTTCTGATTGCAAAACAAACATGAAGTACTCTTCACTTAGCACAAACTTGCGGTAAAACCTTTCCTCTAGAGTTTTATAAACTTTCTTCTGTGCATCAAAGAACCCTTGGAGTCCATGGGTACCATGCAGGTACTGCTCCATTCCTCTCACCAAAGTGGTGTCCAACATAACAGATTTGTCTGATGATGGTGCAACATAAACTTGGTAGATTTCTTGTGCACTTTCATGCAGTTCAGTGTATTTTACTAACTTAAGATTCTCTACAGCCATCCAGAAACTGCAATCATTGAAAAAAGAAATCAATGAATTTCAATGGAACATTTCATATTAAAGAAAACCATAAAACATCATCACTTGAACTGTCACAAATCAATTTAAAAATATTTTTGTCTGGGTGAACAATACAAAGTCCATGGTTTAACATCAATGTGATTTGCAATCATCTCAAAAATATTTGAATTGATATTAAGATTGTGGTTCTAAATCTTTGGAACAAAAGAATAATCCAAAACTGACCTAAGCATATTTTTGCTGCCAGTTTTATTTTGAAGGAACAGCATAAAAAAGCTCCTTGCCAAGCTGTTATCCATCACCTCAGGAAAGCCTAACACTTTGGCTTGAGATTTTGCACTCAATTTTTTATTAAGCTTGACTTTCTCTTGTCTAGTCTGTATTATGTCTGTCCCTCCATTATTAGTGTAATCAGGTCCCCCTAACATTTTGATGCGACGTTCACACTGAGCTTTAGCCACAGTACACTGGTTGATGTAACGTTTTAGATTCCTAGCTCTCAGCTGAGTATCTTTCTTCAGGGCTTTTCCCTGTTTGTCATCTTGTCCAAACTGGTCAATTCCCTTTAAGTTGTTAATTGTAGTTGCCTGCATGATTTCTGCAATTATGTGATACCTGTGTGGTAAAATCAGATCAAAAAAGGAATTTTAGTTTCCTTTATCCAAACAAAAATAAATACAGTCAAACCTCTATACTCCATCTTAAACCTTCACAAACGTCTCCTGAGGGTGGGGGTCAGAGCCACCAAAGGTTTTTTCAGGGGGGGGGAAGGTTGCATTATAATGATTCAGAAGAAAAGCTGGTGCTGTGAAAAAAAAAAATCTGCAACTTTGTGATCTTTATAAATAACTTGTAATGCTGTTACCTAATTTGTTTCAAAGTTTCAACTGAATTTGATGTATTGATCATCTTGATGAAGTCTTCATAAGTTTCTGCATAAGCATAGCCTTGCTTGTGCTGAGCTGTGAGAGCTTCTTTGGCCTCCAAATGGACAAGAAGGGTTTGGTTTATATAGTCAGGATCGCACAACATGTCGGCCAGAGGCTGGAAGACAGAGAACGCTAAAATCTCGCGCAAAAGGTATCGCATTGTGGAACAACGTGAATTCTTTTGAGGAAGAAGACAACAAAGCATAACCTCGGAGGCTTTGCGGAGATAATCAAGCTCTGCAGCTCGACTCGTGAGGCATGGATGGAGAACAAAGTGAATCGCATTATCAGAAAAGGCTCGGGTGTCTGCGAGTCGCAGCTGTTGGAAGTGTCTGCTGAGAATTTCAACCACGTCATTCGACAAGAATTTCACGGTGTCAACACATTTTAACCTGTCCACAAGATTCGCCGTCACAACCCACAGCTCTTCAGTTAGTATATCGACAAAGGCAGCTTCATCTTTACCCAAATCGCGAAACCAAGATAGGCAAAAATCACGGATGAATAAGTCAAACACCTCCTGGATGGCTTTGTCGACAGGTCTTGAAACAACAGTCTTGTGCTTGTAAGGTTTATGCGTTTGACTTCGCGTAAGCTTAGCCAGAAAACGTCTGACTGTTTCAACTTTCTTTGGAAGTTTTGGTGTTGATGGGTTTCGTTGTTTACCAGAGAGGAGGTATAGCATTACCCCTGAGAAAATCCCCATTAGTACAACAAAAAAGTTCCATATTGTCGAATAGAGGCTCTGGAGAAATCCAACCTGCCATAGCACAGCTACAAGGATAGTGCACCCTACAATGTAGTAATTTTGCATGACTCACGAATTGCACAGTCCAATCGACCGGTATTAATAAAGTCACTAATCTCTCTTTCTCATTTTGGGGAAATCTGCAACCTCAATTTTGAGCCTTCGCTTTCAAGTCAAATTTGCTGCAAATTTGTGCGCGGGCATATATTCTCAACTTTGCCGCTGAACCGTACAAGACAACTGCAATCTTTGTAAAATGGCGAACCAAGTGGAAGGAAAAGGAGAGAGATCTGAAGATGATTTCATTCCTCTTAGAACAAATACGAAACGAAATACCACGGGACAGGAAGACAACTTAATGAAATCTTACTATGAGGAAGTTGAAAATATAACACAGCTTTCTGAGGAAAAAATTGATGAAATAAGGTGGCAAAATGGGATTGAGATCCAAGGTGAAAATTGCCCGAAGCCTATAACAAGTTTTCAAGATTTAAAGTTACCTCCTGAACTGCAGGAGTACTTGCAAGATAATGGCTACATTAGCCCCACTGCAATCCAGATGCAGGCTCTCAGCTGTGTTATGAGTGGAAGAGACATCATTGGTTTGGCAGAGACTGGGTCTGGTAAAACGTTGGCTTATTCCTTGCCTCTGTGTATGTTTTTGAAAACAAGACAGCCATGTTTGCCTGGACAAGGACCTATGGCACTTATTTTGACTCCCACAAGGGAACTGATGCGACAAGTGTTTGATCATATTTCAGAATTGTTGTATTGTATCACAACAAAGACTACAGGTATGGTTTTACCAAACAATAACCATGGCAGTGTCGCTGAAAACATCAATTCACTTCATTTGAATTACTCAAACACAACAAGGAGTTCTTATTTGAATACACATTTACCTTATAACGTGATGAACACAGGGTCACCAGGAATGCCTGGCTGTCATCCAGTATCAAGTAATTTAGCATCTTTCCCTTACTTATTCCCTGCAGCTTCACCAGTCAGCATCAAATACAAATCAGTTGGAATTTGTGGTGGTGTGCCAGTTTCAGTTCAGGCACAGGAGATAAGGAGTGGAGTGGATGTTGTCATAGCAACTCCCGGAAGGCTTCTTGACTTGTGTAAACGTGGCCTCATCAGTCTTAATAAAGTGTCATATTTAGTGATGGATGAGGTAGATAAGATGCTTGGGATGGGGTTGGAAGAACAGTTGAGGAAGGTTGTTGGACTTGCAACTAGAACTGAAAGGGCAAGACAAACACTGCTATGGACTGCTACCATGCCAGATTCTTTAGACAGATTGACAAGGTCTGCGGTGTTAGATCCCATTACAATTCAAGTAGGACCTGTTGGGCTGATATCTCCTACTATCCAACAAAATGTCATGTTTCTGTATCATTATGAAAAAACAGAAAAATTATTACAAGTTCTTCGAAATACACCTATTCCTCCTGTCATTGTATTTACATCATCCATCCAGAATGTAGATTATGTCACAGAGTTACTTAAGGAGGAACAGTTCCATGCATCTGGCCTGCACTCTGAAAAACCTCAAGAATACCGATTTACTTTAGTGAGGGAATTTCGTGAAGGCAAAGTGGATGTGTTGGTGGCAACAGATGTTGGGTCAAGAGGTCTTGATTTTCCTGAAGTAACGCATGTAATAAACTATGATCTACCAGATAGTATTGAAGATTATGTTCACCGCTGTGGTCGTACAGGAAGAATGGGGCATTTTGGTGTTGCAACATCTTTTTTGACACTTGACTGTAAGATTGCTGAGCAACTAAAAGAAATGCTGGAAGTGATGGATCAAGCTGTACCCAAAGAGCTTGTGAACACTAAACAGTTTGGCAAAAAAATCATTAAGACAGAGTTTGGTGATAGAGTTGTAGATTTTTGAGAAAGTGTTTTGCATTACAATGAAACTATTGATTTTCAAAGGAAGCAAGGGAACTTGAAAAAGTGTAATAAAACCATTTCCACCTTGTGTGAAAAAAGGTTAAGAGAAAGTTGTCAAATTTTATGTAGTTCAATTCTGTGTTTCGTCAAGTGTAGATCAGTTATAGTACATAGATAGTGCTTTTAAGTTTTTCAACTAAGTAATGTTTTAGTCTGTTTTTTCTTCTCATCTCCATTAAAGGTCAGTTGAAGTGGATGCTTACTAGAAGGGCTGCACCCACCATAGGGTTTACACAGTTCCCTAATAATTCATTTTTCTTTGGAAAAGTAGACTGCAGACAAAGTGAAGAAAAAATCTCTAGCTGGGAAGATGTACTTATGACAGCCATGTTATTTTAATTTTGAGCTTTTGAGGGAAGAGTAGTAAGTTATTTATATCGTGGTTATTGTTTTTTGTATGTGTGAAAGACTCTTCCATCACTGAAATCTTCCATATTTAAACTACATAAAGTAAAATTCAGCTAATAACAAATTTTTTTAGCCTCACACACTCAGACCGATTATCATTTCTAGAGGTTTTAATAGTGTGCCCGTTTTTCCAATGAGAGTTTGGTGATGTTAAGTTGTTCACTGTGAGTTCTACCCCACGAAGCGTAGGCCGTGACATCATACACATGACAAACACGACTGGTCAGGAAAGAGTGAGATACAATAGGACAGGAGTTAATTTCATACCCGCAAGTACAAGTCTTATTCAAGCAAGAATACCTTTGTACTCCAGCCTGATCACCACTCAACTCGTTAAAATATGTATTTAAGCGAGACAATAGGGATGGTGTAGGTTACGCAAACTTTGCTGCACACAAATTTCGTCATCTCAACATAGCCCCATTGGCATCTGTGTTAGTGACAGAGTTCCAGGAATGCAGTAAACTTTGTGTCAACCGAACAAGGAGTTTTTCTATCAACTTGGCAGCTATTTCCAAGCGATAAATATCGATAGCAAATCACAAGAGTTCATCAACAGCGTAGCGTTTCTTTATCTAAGCATAAAGGTCAGTAGACAAGTTCCGTATGTTGCTTTCTCACCTAAAACCTGAACACCTAACCTCCTCACCTCTAACCCTAGATAGTGAAAGAGAGAAGAACACGAGAATTTTTGTTTGGCGATCTTTGTTTTAGCTCCTTTCGATTATTTTTAAGTACTTTTATTAGTCAGAATTAAAGTTTGATTGGAAGGAAGGCTGGTCATAAAATCGTTCGAGGAGATCATTATAAATTTATGGGCCAAAAATAAACGATTAAGAAAAATTTCAACCATCATTTGAGTTGAAATTTCATTTCCAAACATTTCGTTGTGAAACATGAAAAATAAAACAAAGGATGCTATTTATTTACACTTCGTTCTACTCCTATTTCGTAGGATACAGTTCTCAAAGTTATTTACGAGGTTATGTATAAATTAGCTTTAGAACTCGTCATGGTGGTTAATTTATATTTTCAACTAAACCAATATATCCAAATTATCTTGTTATAATGCCAAGAGTGAAATTTAGAGGAGATTCACTGAAGAAGAAAAACTTGAATCAGACAAGCCATCAACAAGTTCTTTTAACTTAGCAAAATAGTTCCCGCTTACCTTTCGGGTGATTACAGGCAGAATTTGACGCCATGGAAAGAACAGATTTTGCTTTGAACTATCATTTGGTATCAAAATTGAGTGCAGTTTATCATAATTCAGACTGTCAAACGAACAACTTGTATTCGAGAAGGAACTAACAGAAAGAATATCATTAACAAAATTAATCAAGAAATAGATTGTGTGTTACACAATTGTCATTTTAGGATAAAAATAAGGACAACATGCGTAGGATTAGAGCCGGTGCATGCAAAAAAAATGTACTCCCCTACATAGAAAAAGTTTACATGTGAAAGATTAGTCTAAGCAAATCTTTTGGCCTCACTTTAGGTATAACACTAATCTACAACTCTGATATTAAGTTAATGAGAAAAGGCTGGGGGCAATGAAGGGTCAAACTGAAAAGGATAGGGTCGTAACCTCGCATCAAGATTGATTGACCAACATAGGTTAATATTACTGAGCCGTCGGTGACAAGTACAAAGTGTGGCATGTTTCTCGAGTACATCCTACTTGTTTTAAGCCAGTCTGTCACACTTAGTAAGTTCAACCCTTCCCCTCTTTTCCTCCACTCACCTCATTTAAAGTGTAGTAGTAGTAGTAGTAGTAGTAGTAGTAGTAGTATGGACACCTTTGGTTTTTCTTCTTGTGCCTTCACCTTTGCTGAAGGTTTACCAATGAGAACTCGTGAATAATTGAATATCTCATGTGTAAACTTTAAGTGATGCCTCAGGCCATCTTTCCAGGCCAAACTATACAAACACCGACTTAGTTGATTTTTATTTCTAACGGTGCTCTTTTAGACGAAGTTAACTGTTGACCAAAAATCGACATGGTTTGATTTCATGGTTTTCATAGTGCTATACACTCGAAACAAAGGGAGACGTAAAATAGGAATTTTGGATCACCTTCTACTTGTAATTAGACAATTTTTTTCTAACTACACATGGTATGAATTGATTTCTTTTTTTAGTTTACAGAGATTATGTTTGTCAATCACCAGACTGGAGATCATGTTTACTTCAAACGGCGAGTGAATCAAGTTATCGTGGCCCATGTCACTATGGGAAAATGCTACGGCCTAAGGATTGGGGACATGACAAGGTCGAATGCAGCTTTCTCTTACCAACTGTTGGTCGGTGATAACTCATTTTACCCGGGGGTTTTTCATCTCTGGGTTCACAGAAAATTGCCACAAGGACTGTGACTCCTGATTTGGAGACAGCGACTCGTTATATTTTCACTCATCAGCTTCTCAGGATAACCTTGGGAGCGTGGCATTTCACACTAATGGTCATGACAAACTTGATAAGAGACTTACTAGTGTTGGCCTGCGTTAAGAGTAGCATGGACAGTAACGGAGCCTTACATGAGGATGATATTTTAATATTGGGGATTTTGAGTCGCTTCAAAAGAGTAAATAGCTTTGAAGACCGTTTCTCCTCCTACAGTCGTTTTTGTAAACCTTATCATGTAATTATGTCAGCATCTATATGAATTATTTTCATAAAATGACCAGAGAGAGGCAAGTCAGTTGAAAACATCTTCTTAGTGAATAAACGTAAGTCGTGAGCAAAGCAAACATACAACTGTAACTTCAGAAAAAAAAGTAAAGGCTAATTTTTCATCTCTAGCGAATACATATTTCGCAGTGAGTTAATTATTTCTCTGAAAAAATACAAGGAAGGTTTTAAGTACTGAGTTTCATCATCATCATCATATTTTATTTGCCTTATTTACACAATACAAAAAAATTTATTTACAGCGGTTATAGCTAGAAGGCGAGGAGACTCGGGAAGCCACCGGGCTTATGAGAGAGCCACCTCACTTACATTAATAAATAAAGTAGAGAAAAAGTGCTGCGAATGTGCGGCTAGGCCAATTCAAGGATTATTTAAGTAAAAACTCTTGCATTTTCGTCTTAAAACTAAGAAGGTTTGACGAACGAGTGAAGAAACAGGAAGAGAGTTCCAAATTTTAGGACCTTGGTGAAGAATTATAAATTGCTTGAGATTTGTGCGGCACAAATGCGTTCGATAATTACTGGCTGTTCTGGTACCATAGTTGTGAATTTGGCTATTCGTTACAAAAAGATTGAGAAGCAATGGAGGCAATAAGTTATTTCTATAATAAAACATGAATTTGGCGGTTTCAAAAGTATTGACTTGGAAAATATCTAAAATTCCTAGTTTGGAGAATAAAGGAGCGGAATGGGCTCAATAGTCTGAGTTGGTGATAGCCCGCACAGCTCGCTTTTGCGAGTAATGAATTCTATTTAAGTTAGATACGTATGTGGACGACCAGGCACAGTTACAATAGACGATATAAGGATAAATTAAGGTGTAGTACAAAGTGAGCTTGGTTGTAGAGGATAGGAAAAAGCGAGACCTGACTATAATACCTATTAATTTAGCGATTTGTTTACATACATAGCTGATGTGGTGTTTCCAAGTGAGATGATCATCAATATAGACCCCAAGGAATTTAGTTATGTTAGATTGTTGTAGGGGTTTACCTCCAAAGGAGAGAGAAATGCTGGAGTTAAATTTCTTCTGTCTGGGTTTAAAAATTACGTAGTTAGTTTTCCTTATATTAACTGAGAGCTTATTGCATTTTAGCCAGACATCAATATTTTGGAGTTCATCATTAAGTACGGATTCTAAGCAATTTGGGTTTGAGCGAGAATAAAAGATACTGGTGTCATCAGCGAAAAGCAGAGGGTCTGTTAATTCAGAGGCATTAGGGAGGTCATTTATGTATAGAATGAACAATAGAGGGCCTAAAATCGAACCTTGAGGGACACCACACTTGATAGTTTGCATAGGAGAGCAAGCTTGATTGAATTGGGCAAATTGCTGGCGGCAGAACTAGCTTTTGAACCACTGCAGAGCCACGTCACGGATACCATAGTGCTCTAATTTTGCAAACAAGATATGATGGTCGAGAGTGTCAAATGCTTTGGAAAGATCTAGGGACTAGGAGTTTGTCGCAGGGGAGCATTACAAAGTAGTTTCTTCTTATTAAAATAACATATCAGGTTAACGGGTCACCTTACAGCGGTGTAAATATCATAGTAGCGACATAATTATAATGTTCTCCGCCACAATGATTTAAGGGAAAACAAGTACCTGATGAGATCGAGTCCGTAAGCTCTCTCTCTTTTGTGAGCCAGTTCAGCTGTTCAACGAGGTTTGAACGCCACCAAATTTGCACAAGTATAGAATAACTTAACAAACAATGCCAAGAAGTGTCGCTGTCATCCACAAAAGCTCAGCTCTGAGAGATCGAAAAATCAGTAAACTAGTTAGTTAGCTAGTTTTCTACGGTAAAAGTCATTATTTAGCTCAACATTGGGGACATTTTTTTCACATTTTTAAACATGGTGTTATTGATCCTCGTCCTTCTTACCATGAGTGTGGAACAAAGAAATAACCTGGGTTCCTATGATAGGGAGACGTGGTGGACACACGAATGGCGCGCTGGTTTCCAGGTTGACATTGTTTGATTTAAGTATCTTAACCTTACCCCTATGCATCCTACATCTCCAAAGTAATTGTCCTGAAACAAGACAAAAAGAAATTGAAAACATGGTATATTTTGAGCTGGGTCGTCGATAAAAGGACCGATGCTAAACTTTTGTCAAGTGTATCACCTGGCGAGCGGCCAAGTCTTTTTCGCGAACAAGAATTCACTTAGTTCACCATTGTCTCATTGTTAAGTTCAAGGTCAATTTTGTGGTTGACCGACTCTCTTGATGAGGTATATCTCGTTGCAGATGTAACCGTGTCCGTTTATTGCTCAATTCCAAAGAACAAATTTTTCTTTGGTGAACTGACGGTATCCTGTCGATGGCCGAAGTCGGCCGTTTCGACAGTGAATTGACTGACGGTGTAAGGATGTTCTTCTTAACTTTATTAGTTTATTTATTTATATTATCCTGTTTTTTTTCGTGTGGTCCCGGATTCTTTTCTTTCATTCCGATATGTTCCAAACTATTTCTGTGTTTCAAAAATATAACTTTATTGTGTTCAGCCACGTTGAAGTAAATCCAGAACTACACATTATCAATTGTTCCAGTCCTTTTAAGAGCTTCCTTTGAGTACAAGGCCGGGATTTAATCGTTGTAAAAGAACTTGTAGATATCATCAATCCACACAGGATATGGTGGACTGGCAGATCATATCTTTGTGTCTGGAATATCTTTGTTTGTGATCTCTTGGCCTTGAATTTTCCAAAAAGACTGGAGGTCAGCAAATGTAGCCACATATCTGTCCAATTTCCAATTTCTGAAAGGCAGCTGAAATTGCTTGAGTTTGACAAACATCTGAGGAGCCCAAAGAAAACAAAAAACCCAACAAAAAGCCTGATATAAAACTGGCTGGGAATGCTCTCAAGGAGAAGAGGAAATTCTGACAGGAGCATTTGTATCTGCTCTTTACTTAGTTCCCTAAATGATGCCAGAGTCACTGATGATACAAGGCTCAATTCTGCTGAATCTTCATTCTTTAAATATTCCACTGGATTTGGCAAATCAAGTTTGAACATTTCTTTGGGTTCCTTGTGCTGGGCTTCTACCCTGCAAACAAAATAACAGCTTTTAGGAAATCCAGGAAGATGGAAAGTGATCAATCAGCATATGTTTAAAAGACAATAGATTTGACTGAGTTGGGTAAAGCATGAGCATTAACATCATTCCCATATTTCTATTTGTTTTACAAAAGAAACAAACTTGTTTGTTCAATGTCATCCCAGAGAGCGCTGAAAAGTCCACATGCGAAACTGTGAACCTTCTTGACAGACAATAGATTAATAACATATGTTCCCCTCTGCGGCAAATACTCCATGGGTAATTAAAACAATAGCCTCCACTTCAAGCTATGGTTCACCCACATATACACACTCATGCTTTTTACCAATATCACGTTTCACATAGCAGGTTTCATAAGGTAATTTGTGGAACTATCATCAGCAATGAACCCAACCAGCAATGTTGTCTTCACTTTTAAACTTGTCTAGTGTTGGAAATGGCTTGTTATTAATTATCGCCAACTATGTATTTTACATTTATACCAAGTATTTCGGTTGAAACACCATCAATCGTTAAGTATAAGAATAAAAGAAGACTAATATATCGTTCCTTTAATAAATGTGAAAACAGCAACCCTCAACTTTGACAGTTAATTGTTACTCATACGTTTAGCATACCTCTCTAACCAGACGTGAACGCAGTATTCAGCACATTCTATGGCCGAGCTAGTAACCAATTGAAATAAAATCTTATCCATGAAAGGAGAGATGGCTGATAGAGCAGTATCCTCTTCAGTTAGAATACCACAAGCAGCAAGTCTCCACTCCAACGACCTAACAGCAACTGTGTTTAAGTGCTTATAAAATGGCAGCATCCTTTTCAAGCTCTTGGTATCACATTTAGTTTTACCTATAACTCCAAAAATTTCAGAAATTACAAACTGTTGCAGATTTGGACGACTAACTGCAGCATCTAATAGTACTTTTATCGATAGCTCGTATTCACCTAGACTGTCCGCCATTTCAAGTACATTGCTCACCGCTGGTTTCCTTGCTCGCGTTACAATTCTAAGGAAATAACCAATCAACGACGCGAATCTTGTGGCGTCCTCAAGTTTGAATTATGGCGGACACGAAGGAGAGTTTCGCTTCCTCAACAAAAGCTTGTAGTTCAAGTGGTGGGTCTTTTTATCGTGAAAATTTAAAATTTGAAGAGATAAAGGATCACTTTAATATCCTTTACAATTTCTTTCAGATCTTATGCGAGAAAAGCTAGAAAAATGGCGTCGAATGAAAGGAAGGTCTTCCTTTTTTAGTGCCAAGACTGTCCACAATCGTTCCAGATCAGCTGTTTCGTTCGACATAAATAAGGACGCTAACAGTCTCCAGAAAAGGTTTTTATTCATTATCTTGGAATATAATTACATTAATTAGTTTTTATGGAAACTTAGGCTTGGTTGCAATTGTGGTGTAAGTAGTATTTAATCACTGCAGATCAAGAATGACCAGCGCACGTCACTGGTCATGAATCAAAGCTCTATAAAAGCTTTCAGGCGCCAGCTGTTAACTCAGAGGCAATACTGCACGCTCCATTTTCGGTCGCATTGCAAGCAATGTATGCGATTAAGAATGGTCTGCAAGCATGATATTTCTTCACGGAATTCTGTAATACTCGGCCCTGTGTATTCGATGATCAAAAATTACATGCTGTACCGTTATATGCCATGCCATGCGATGCTCTAAGAGTACTTAGTAATTGTTGATGTTGGTTAACCTTATGGCATGCATCCGTGGAGGAAAGATGTATGTTTGATCTGTCCCTTTATTTAGCTTAAGGTAAGGGCAGGATTAACCTTAAACTTTACTTTCTGGCACATTCTGATGTCAATGGTTTTCCGTTTTTTTTTTTTTATTATCTGCCACCTCTAGAGAAATGAAAGAGTCAAGGATACTTCAAAAACAGCCAGAAAGTGTACGTTAAGAGTCATTTTAAAATGAAATTTCAATTGATAACGAATATTGGTAAGAGATCTTTGTGCTTTATTAATGGGAGGTCCTTACCGTTGATTTGTTTATACGAAGACTAGTAAAATCTCACTACAGGCCACAGAAAGATACAAGAGAATCTCTGACCATGCATGTAAGTTAACTGGTGAACAGAGACGAAGAAAGGCTTTGAATATTGTTCAAAGGAAAGCACTCCTTGATAATGCTAGGACCCTGAAGACAGCCACTTCAAAAGAGACACCTGAAAAGCTTAAAACATATAAGGACAAGACTCTCAGTATGAGGTATACGATGTGAAAGTTAGATGATTTACACACATGCACAATGTAGCGCTCTTTTTCCAAGTAGAATTGTGGCTTTTAATATTGATTGAGAATTTGCTATGGTAAGCTATCGTATAAAAATGAATGAAAAGGTATAATATTTTTTTTTAAGAGAAAGGCTTGAACTCTGGAGAACTGAAAAGGGGTAAATATGTTTCTGTTATCATTTCTTTTTGCCTTTGGCAGTGACCACCAAAATATTCTGTTTTTGTACCTAATACTAATAAAATTTTTAATGAGATTTTAATTCCAGTTGTTCTCCAATACAAAGGCAGCACAACCCAGACAAAGCTGCTGTGAAATCTAAATCATGTGGGAAAAGACTCAGTAGGATGTCAGCTTGTATGAAAGAAAATCTGTATAACTACCACAGACTGTAAGTTATACTCAGGACATACTCATTAATTTTTTCTAAGTTTCAGGAGTGAAAAAACACACATTTTCTTTGTACCATATAATCACATTTTTAAGGAGGTGATGTGAATTAATAATGGTATTGACTGGAAATTTAAATTCTTTTACCTGTTTACAAAGAAACATGTGGCAGTTAACTTGGTGGGATATTTATTAAAATAAATTTCATTAAGATTTTATTTCATTAATAAATATTGTTTAATTTCACAAAAGGAATATACAGACCTACACTGTATTTTGTTTGTGTTAATTTACAAATTACACAGTTTGGTGATTAGTTTATTTTTTGCCAATTTTTGGAATAAAAATTTGAGTAGCAGGTAATTAAAAAATATGAAAATTTTAATGAAACATATTTATTCTGCTCATTTTTCAGGGAGCACACTAAAGAAGTAGTAACTCCTGCCTCCACAAAGCTACCATTTAAGCCTAGGGTAAAATCAACCTCTACCCTTCAATCTCATCACCAACCTTCCATAGTACAATCAAATGGTGCACAGAAATCAAAGCTAATCCAATGTGAATTAACACCACAGTCTATTTTGCCCAGTAATCCTGAAGTAAAGTCATACAAAAACAAGGCTCTTGATATAAGGTATGAGTACACCCATCCACCCTTGAGAACCCACAAGAGACTAGGGACTGCTCTTAATTATACAAGACAATAACTTAATGGTCATGTGTACATACATAAAGCAATAATTTTGAAAGCTGAAAAATGTGACATGTTGTCCACAGTGTTCTAAAGACTTCTGCCCTTAATAAAAACAGAGAAATAAACTGGTCACACATTCATACACCATAACTGGGTTACCTGCATCAAAATCATTTGACTTTCAAATGTTTGATCAGTGCTGTAAGTCACATATCATTAATGCTCTATTATTTGAAAATCAAGAGATTCTTTTTGTCTCATTTATCTATAAGGGAACGATTGGACCTTTGGCTTGCTGAAAAAGGGTGAGTGTTGAGCTAGCATAACTATATAGTTCCCAAGCTTTTACAGTCTACTTCTGCTGATTGTTCAGTAAAGACATAATAAGATTCCCACTTATAAAACTGACATAAATCCCTGCAGTGTGGGGAAATACACCCAACCCACTTGTATATTTCTTCATTCATGTTCAATTTAAATCAATTTAAAATTCTAGTAAAAAAGATAAACGTTAAATAGGTACCATAATGATTCTATTAGTGCCCTCATTCCAATAAGTGCCCCCTCTTTGATAATGACCCCCCCCCCCTTCCCCCCTAAAATTTGGTTTTTATTAATAAGCACCCATATTAAGTAAGTACTCCTATTCCTAAAAGCACCCATATACCAATAAGCACACCTATGCTGTTTTGGTAATAGCACCACATTGAGATCAACTATGTGTCATAGTAATTGCTGAGTCTCATCAAGGAAACAGTAATCTATGTCTCCTTCGTTCTACTCTTGTGTCCATCTGAGTGCACACTTCCTTCAAACAAGTGATCTTAACCTTTTTTGAGGATTACTTCTTGGCTGATCATTTTAACCAAGAAGGATCTATGGATAACAAGTCCATTCTCCAGTCTTCTTGATCTTTTTTTAGATAAAAGTCAAAGTTTTGTTCCTCACATTTTTCTGTTTCTTAAGAAAGAAATAAGTGCCCTATCTCCAATAAGTGCCTTGGTTCTAATAAGTGCCCTCCCATGATATACAAAAAGGGAAGAAAGCTCCCTGGGTGCTAAATCAAATAATTACGGTAAGCTGGTTTACCTATGTCTTGTGGTGGGTTTGTTATAAAATCTCTCCAATGAAACTCTCGCATGTCATTTGTGCTGATAATAGTTTTCTAATCTAGATTGAATTATTCAGCTTAAGTTGGCTGAAAGTAGGTTATTTAAATGAAATTATAGACTTAGTTCACATAGTTCCTCAATTGTTAGTTTTTTTCTGTCACAGAAAAACACCAAAGTACAGGACACCAGCTGTGCCGCAACATTCCAAAAGTGTTCAAAGGAGAAATTTGACGGAAAAAAAGAGACTTTCCTTTAATGGGAGAGAGGAAACTGTTTGTGTAATGGACAAAATTGGATGTGCCATTTCACTTGATGAAGGGGAAAATGTTGAAGAAAAACTGAAAGAATGTTTGCAACAGTTAGAATTGGTAAGCTAGGGATCAATGTGCTGTGACTTAAAGCACGATAACTGAGGCAAATATGCATGGCAAAAAAGGGACTCTGATTTCCCTCACTTTTCATACAACCTTTAAATCAAAGCCAAAGAAAAAGTGTAAAATGTAAAACTCTCTTGTTCAAAATTAATTGGTTCCACTCTTTTTCCATTTGCTTAACACCAAGTGTTCAATCTTTCTATCAGTTACAAAAGACTAATTGCTAAATAACAGAAAACCTATCAAGAACTAGTCAGAATGAAAATTCTTATTAAAAGTGGCTCAAAAGACCTCTTAACTCTCCTCAGTTATTGAGAAGTACTAGATAATTTCCAAGTTTGTATTTTTTCAGAATGAATATAATGCAGATGATGTAAGGTCCAAGCTCGATTTGTACAAATCCGCATGTCCACATATCTGTCACATGGCAAACTACTGGTTGTGCCGGGCAAAGATTGCTCAACATCAGAAAGACTTCAATAGAGTGGTGTGCTTACTGGAGCAAGCTTTTGTCTTCAAGGCACAGGTTATAGGCTGAGATTGAAACAAGCTCCATCTTCATTTTTTCAGATTATTTTTCATATTATTTTTCAGATTATTTTTCAGATTATTTTTATGAAGTTCGGTAAAGTTGGTTTGCTTTTGTTTCACTTCCTTGTCATCTGCCTTTGTTACATTTTTCTTCAAGGGAGGTACTATTTACCAGGGTAATTGTTCCTTATGGTCTTTTAACTTCTTTCTTCTTAGCCAGATTCAGTCCTGAAGGATGCAGTGTGCACTTTTGTAAATTTCATAAAGGAAAATGAACCAAAAGGTATGCCTTCTATGTTAAGGACACTTGGCCTTGTCAAAATGAAAAATGATTTTTATCAAAACCATTTATATCATTTGTTATTTTTAGATGCAGACATACATTTTGTAGATAAGATCTGCTTGTCATTACCAGATGAATCTCCTCCAAGTGAAACTAAGATTGATATGAATGACATTTCATCAGAGGAGCTGAACTCTTCCATCATAAAGTTCTGCCTAATGGAGGTCACACCCCACAGAAAAAAGTGAGAAATTGAAGGCATAATTAACTTAATTAACACTTTCAGCAGTTACTTAATCTTAAGACTGTCTTTCAGATATGAACACAATGCTAACCAATTCAAGCAATGACCCCACCTCCTCATTGTTCCATGTTAAGACATTGAGATAATGGTTTACATAATTAGATGTACAATAATCTCATGAAGGCCATGAAATTTGTGCTTTTCAGGTTTAAGACAACATTTGGTAAACGGATATTAACACCAGTGCGTAGGTCTGTGCGGTTAGAGCGGGCTAGTGTCCAGTATTCTTCAGTTGTCCAGGAACATGGTTTGACTGTGAGGACATTGAAAGAGCTTCCTGAAGACATTCAACAGGATTTGTTGTTCAAACCCAACTTTGCTGTTCAAGCTGAGCTCAACGAGGTCTGGAACAAGCTTCAGCTGGACTCAGACTGGTAAATGCCACAAAACTTCCATCACAGCCTCACATTAAAGAAAGAAAGTATAATTTATTTACATTACTTTTTCATCAGCTCTAGATGGCTTCTTGATTTTTATTTTAACCTAGTTGTAAATAACTTAAAATCTCAAAGAAACTAATAGGTTTGGAGTGCTAAAGAAGTGACTTTGTATAAGATACCTTTATGAACCTGACCAAATCTGAGCACATAAGCCTTGTAGAGAGGGAATGCTTGTAATATGGTAAATGTAAATGTAGATTTAAGACTTGACAAGTTTTAGTACATGTATAACATTAAAGTTCTACCTGGTCTCAGTAAGTTTACAAAATTTCACGGAATAACACAGACTTTTTAGTACTTAAAGAACATTGAAGCAATTTGTATTACGAGAGTTATGCATCCAAAGATAATTTAGTCTTCAAGTAAGAGTAGTGTGGATGATAGAATGAAAGAGATGTTGTTTGAATACCTGGATATATCCTGGGTTGGTTTAGACAGATGTGGTCTCATCGAACTAAACAATCACTTTATTAAAGTAACAATTTTCTTTAACTTTCAGAGACGTTTTGCCTCTGGACTAGATTTAAAACTGAAGGAAAAAAGTTAAATAAAAAATTGAATGAAAAATTTTACCAAATTGGAGAAACCAAGGAGGACAAGTTAGTCACTTTTTTGCTGGGTACATGCTGCAGGCCTCTCAGAACCATCATTCACATTTTTTTTAACTGAGAATCTCATTTTTTAAATCCCTACTTGAAGAATTTCCTTTCGCCCAAATCCCCAATTCCTGAAAATTTACAATCCCATTCTAGTAACTTGAAAATGCCACCTCACCCTGAGGCTAACCACCACTAACCTACTATTAGTAAGAACCCCCCTTCCTTTCACTTTACACCTGATTTATGGGAATGTTTTTCAGCAAGAACAAGGTCTGATGAAAATAAAGTGCCGCCAAATTAACAATTTTTTTCCTTTTTTGTAAATGTGACGTTACAAGGCCTTGATAACATGGGGACGAACTTGTGGGGTTGAGTTGCAAAACCTCCTCATACCTAAACCACACCCTCGTGACTGGGGACGAGTTTGTATCTGCGTTAAGTACGGTATGATGTGGTCTACATAGAGTACCTGACAAGGAAACGGAATGGCGGACCTCGTGCATCCATTTTTTATCATATTTTAAAAGTAAATTTACGATCAAACAGCGATCTGTTTTCTTTGGAGCCATGCTCAGATCCAAGGTGTTTGTCAAGAAGACACGAAAGGGAGGAGTAATGAAGATAGTTCGTGAACATTACTTACGAGATGATGTATGGTGCAGAGCAAGTCACTGTAGAAACTGCGCTCAAACAGATCAAAATTTACTGGATTCATCGCCTCATAACTCCTCTAAACTGTACACATTTCCACATTATTTACTGCCTGATACAAATGTTGTGTTACATCAGATAGACGTTTTAGAAGATCCAGTGTTCACAAATGTAATACTTCTACAAACTGTCTTGCAAGAGGTGAGTTCTTAGTGAGTTTTTCAGACAAGTTCTGAAACTGAATTCAGCTGTGTCATGACGATCCAGAGGCCCGAACTTAATAGAAAGCTCAGAGATGCGCCCTGAACCTTTCTTTTTTAAGACGCTGTCAGAACATTCTAAATTTATTTGATCCTAGTTGTTATTCAACTGTTTTCATGACGACATGAAAAGCACATGGGCAATCACTTTTGTAACATTTATTTATTCATGTGGTAATTTTGACTTTTATACTTCCTCAGAAATGTTATACAGGTATTACAAAAAAAAAAAGAATTACAGATTACTACTATTTGACATTAGTTTGCAATAATTTGGACGTGAATTTAATTTTCAGCAAAGAGTACACTAAAATCGTTGTCATTAATCCTTTAATTTGTTTGATTTAAGTCATGATCATTTTCATGTTTTTCATGGATCACATTCCATAATTCTTTATTACTCTTTTGCCATATTCAGATCAACTCTTGTTAAGACAAGTATCTCCAATCACTTTCAGGTGCAGCATCTCAATGCCTCAGTTTACAAGAGAATCAGGGAATTGATATCCAGTAAACAAAGAAAATTTTTCGTTTTTTCAAATGAGCACCATAGGTAAGTGTGCATCTATTTGGAACCCTACGGATCATTCTTTGCATGATAGCAAAAAAATTGTTATCCTATCAAAGCTAGGATTTACCTTCAGAATAATTGTGCATTTCATAACTTGTAATTCTTGTTTTGGCTCTTAAGAGAAACATATGTTGAGAGAAGAAAGGAAGAATCTCCAAATGACAGAAATGACCGAGCAATAAGAGTGGCAGCAAGGTATTGGTCAGATCCAACAGGAAATGACATCTAAATTACCTCTAAGTTTTGTAGTTAGAAGTAAATTGCAATGTTCGTGTGTGATATTTAAAGCTTGGTTATTTTTCTAAACCTTTTTTAGAAAACTCACAGAGCTTCAAATTGTTTTGAAATAAAAAGCATTCTGCTTTTGTCATCATTTCATGTCTTTGGTAATGTCACTATTAACTACCAATCTCCTTATTGAATTTCATTGTCAACTGGCATAGTGGAAAACCAGGTAAAGCCTAGGTTTTGTTTTTAATTTCCTTTTTTTCGGAGAGTAGCCTACTAGGTGGAATATTTAATACACATTATTTTCAGATTTCATTTTGCTGATTTCTTTCAGCTGGTATGATGAGCATTTAAAGGAATGTGAAGGAGGAAATAATGAAGATCTAAGAATTAAGGTTGTTCTTCTCACAAATGACAGAGCAAACAAAGAAAAGGCAAAGAATGAGGGAATCATTTGTTTTACAGGTATAATCAACATTTTCCTCTTATTACTCTGGGAACTTTTTCCCTCACTCACCAAAGATGCTTTTTTCCTTGTTGGAACCTTTTAATATCTAAATCATCAAGTATTTAATTACTAATGACCAATATAATAGTTGTACATTGGTCAGCATGTTCATGACAATTTTTGGAATCTAATTGTGTATTGGTATTCACAGCTCAAGAGTATGTTGAAAGTCTAGAAGGGAATGAAGGTTTAGCTGACCGATTGGCACTCTCCTGTAACACACAGCGTGATGAGGTACAACAGTCATCTGCATGTTTATAACTTTGAATTTTTCAGTGCTTCATCATATTTGAATGTCCAACTGAGAGTGGTATTTACTATGTTACGACATTTGGTCATGAAATATACTTGAAAGTCAAAGTTGTTTCTTTTATTTGTATTGTTGAAATGAAATTCCTCTGTAGATAGATGACAAGACAAGCAGGAAGTGGGTTTACCCAGAACATCTACCTATGGCTAAAATACAGGCTGGCCTAAAAAGTGGCAAGTATGTACAGGTGATTACTAGTCTCAGTTATTGTACTATTGTCCTTAGAATGTGTTCAAAATGATAGTAAAACTTTGTTGAATACTCTAAAGTTTTCTTCTTTCCTTCCTTCTTCTTTATATTCAAGGGTGCTTTTCATAGGAGCAGGTAAGCGCAGTCTGAATGTTTATTGTTACTTGTCAGATATTTGTATTCTGTTGGATGACATTTATACTTGCCTTTTCTGTAGTTTGATAAATTTTTTTTGTAGAATATTGAAGAAAATTCATGCTTTAATGATAATTGCTACAACTTTTATTCAGCTAAGTGTTTTTGCACCCCTCCCATTTGTACAATCCAAAAGTCTGTTCTACCTTTTTTTGCATACTTAGCAATTTTCTGAGTAAAATTCTCACAATAGATTCAATATGACAAGGGGTCCTTTACAATGAGAAAGGGCATAAAAGGAGGAAATATTTCTCCCATGAAACAAAGAGTTTTTCGGTTACAAAAATCATCTAGACAATCCTTTATGACATGATATGTTCCAAGCAATAATTCACCCTATGCAACAAAAAGAGTTGATTTTTGAAACAAATTCTGTAGTTTTAAACTTTTCAAAGCTTCTTGTGTTATTGTTAACTTTTTAACTTCAAATCCACAGAGAAAACTTCACTGAGGCTTATGTATTTGTCCATGATGGAGACAAGCAGGTATAAATTTGTATAATAAGTAATGATGTGACTTAACATGCAAACATTTGACATGTACATATCATACTTGACTGTGTAACAAATAAATAATTTCTCTTCCTCTAGAGTAGTAATAATTGTGTTATCGGCACAAATTTAATTAATGAAGAGTTCACATTCTGAACTTAACATAGGGGGTCATTAAAAATGATATTGTACAGTACAAGTACTTGTCAGAAATCACACTTAACCTAGCAATGAATTTGTTTTTCCTGTGGACAGATATTTATTCAAGGACTTGTAAATCTCAACCGAGCAGTACATGAAGACATTGTTGCTGTGGAGATTCTTTCAAAGAAAGAATGGACTTGTCCATCATCATTAGTAACAGCAGCATCACCAGCTGAACATGACTCAGATGATGACAATGAAGAAAGCAACAGTGATAAAATGGTACACGTGTTTACTATTTTTTGACATTTAAGTGCAAACAAATGGCAACTTAATTAATTTACAGGATAGGAGAGTATATCCCACTAGTTCAAAATTAAGAGAATGAAGATTCTTCAAAAACAACAAATTCCTCATGCCTATTGCTTGAATCAAGAGACTCAAGAATACTCATGCTCAGTCTACTTCTAGAAGTATAGATGTCATCATTTGTTGAGCTTGAAAATCTCTATCAATTTTCTAAACATAGGGTATGCACAATTTCCAACATTGTGCACATAAGCATGCTGATAAGTAAAAGTTGCAGTTCATTGTCACACATTGCAGTCTTTATTGTGAGAGTGTATCTTGGTATCAACTTACTTTACCTTTCCTCCTCATTGGGCTGATGGTGTAACACTACGAGCTATCAAGCTGACATATTGAAAATACATCAAGTGTTTCTTTCTTTTTAGATTGAATCAAAGAAAGAACTTGGAACAAAAAAAGTGTTGTCAGGAAAGGTATGTAAATTATGTTTACAACATAGTAAGAGAGATGGTAAAATATGAGCTTGGTTATGAAAGAATTTTCAAACAATTTTTGTTAGGCAGGCTTAAAAAGAAGTAGTCTGAGTGATGTTCTACAACAATAAATATTTTGATGGCAAGGGTAAGACAACAAGGCTTTCTCCTGTTCCATTAATTGATGATATTATTCTTTATTCTACCTTTGAGCTAAACAGGTTGCCATTTCTTAACTCTATTTACACATATACATGTTGCTTGCAAAATTGCATATCATAGCAGTATGCACAATGCCTCAAGTGTCACATATGAACCTTGTAATGGCCTACCTCACCACTGTAACTTGGTGATATAGCACTGTCATGAGAAATTTGTAGGTCTGAGATCTAATTCCTCGTGTGTGACTCAAGATGTTTCTTTGTTCCACACTTTTAGTAAAAACAAATTAACTTTTTCCTTAAATATAGCTCCTTTTTG